AATGAGCGGGATCCTCCTCCCCTGCATCCCTCTGCTCCGGGCTGAGCGGGATCCTCCTCCCCCTGCATCCCTCTGCTCCGGGCTGAGCGGGATCCTCCTCCCCCTGCATCCCTCTGCTCCAGAGTGACCGGGATCCTCCTCCCCCCGCATCCCTCTGCTCCAGAATGAGCGGGATCCTCCTCCCCTGCATCCCTCTGCTCCGGGCTGAGCGGGATCCTCCTCCCCCCGCATCCCTCTGCTCCAGAGTGACCGGGATCCTCCTCCCCCCCATCCCTCCGCCACCGGGAAGGGGAATCTCCCGGTCCCCGCCTCCTTCCGGGATCCCCCCGGTTCCCCGCATCCCTCTGCCACCGGCTGGGCAGCCGAGCGATTCATCAGGAGAACATGAATCCTCGCTGATCCATTTGGATCCTCTCCCATTCCCCGTCCGCGCTGGGAGGATGCCGCTGTGTGCTTCAACAGCTATCAGCCCTGAAAAAAAAAAAAAAGAAAAAAAAAAGAAAAATAGGAAAAAAAGGAAAAAAAGGAAAAAAAACCCCCCGATGTACAGGGGAAAAAAAAAAAAAAAGAAAAGCCCTTAGGCCAGTGGTGCACTACGTGAGAGGGAAACATCTTGTATGCTAATTGGCTTTAGGTACTTACAGCAAGATTGAGACTTGTAGCATTGCCACAGATTGTTGGAAATTCCTCCGATAAGCTGACAGATGAATGTGTCTCTCTCATGGAGAGGTGAGAGAGCAGCAAAATACTTCCAAGAGCACAGGCAGTGAAGCAGAGATATTTCTGGCATGTCAACACGCCGGGGCGGTGAGAACGCTGACCACTCGCTGCGGGAAGGATGGGGGGAGAGGGGGAAGAGAAGGGGGGAGCAGCGGGCAGGCACAAAATGCTGATCTGCTGGCCACGTCCTGCCACCTGCACGCTGAGAAGCAGCTTTTTGTGTGAAGAGCTCCATCAACTTGAATTACCGCTTGTAAAGCAAGGTGGGAGCGAGCAGGAGTAAGACAGCCAGAATCCGGCCCGCAGGGTTTCGTGCTCCTGGCCAGGAGAGGTGTAGGCTGAGATTAGTGTCCCAGCACAGCTTATTGCTGGGACCTGTTTAACCTTAAACCGTGTTTATTTCTTTGGCTGAGATTTTGAGGGGTTTTTGTCACAAGTTTCAGAATTAACCATTCCTTTTAGCCACGGGCAGGGTTCATTCCCCCTGGGTTCCTGATGTTTGGGTGATGCTGGAGGAGCATCACCCAGGCAGAGTTATGCTGAGGTTTCCCCACAAGCACCCACCCTTCAGGCAAACCTTCACCTTCTCTCTGTGCTGTAAAAAATGAGGGAAAAAAATTAGCCTTGAGGCCCAGGGGCATCATGCATCTTGCACCACAGCCCTACACAGCAGCACAGTCACAATCTGGTCCTGAAAATGCACCAGACCCCATGGTTCATTGTGTTTATTCCAAAACACAGGGAATGAAGCCCACAGGAGTGCCAGGCTGGTGTCACACAGGCAGGGTACCCAGCTGGACACCCCATGCCTCTGTCCCACTCCTGCTGCCTTCAGCTGCCCCACCAGTTCCCGTTCTCCCTCTGCCTGCAATATGTGAAAAGTAGTTTCTAGTGGTTGAGATGGGAGTTGCTGTTCAAGGCTTTTTGCAGGATATTTGGAACTGTTTCTGAAGATTTTAAATTGTCTCCTTGGGTATCTTTGAGTGTGGACCCTTTGCTGAAGCAGTGTCCACTCCTGGCCACGGGCCGTGCCTGATGCTGGCTGTGGCTCCCTCCTCCCCATCTGGGCCAGACTGAGCCCTGGTTATTGCTCAGGTCAAACAATGCTGCTTCTTCTCTCCATCTACCTGAAAGCGTTTGCACAGGTGATTTCCTGTCAGTTCTGAGTACAAGGAGCAGAAATGATCCTGTGGCAGTTTGCAGATCCCCCAGCTTTTAGACTGGGGTTCAATTTTTCAGTCTTTGAGACAATTCTGCCTCTGACCTTGAGCAAGGTCACTTTCAGCTTCTGTGCCTCAGTTCTCCCAGCAATAAAATAGGCTTAATAGCATTTCCTTTCTCCAAATTTAAGTTTTCCTCACCATGTCCTGCCCACAACTGCACACTGTGAATCCAACGGGACCCCTAATTTAATAAGCACAAGGGAGCCTATTATTATAACCTTCATGCCACAGCTCTGTCTTTATCTCTGCCTGCTATTTGCTGTAGGAAATATCACTGCTTTCTCATTCCAATTGCCATTAGCAATTGCAGCAGCTGCGGTACAGGACCCAGGGATTTTCAGCTGAAGTCTAAATGCAGTTGACAACTGTATGAATCTCAGAGCCAGGGTAAGTAGCTAATGCAAATATCAACATTGTAGTAAGAAACACTCAGGAGCAGTAAGTGACTGATAGAAAAGTGATTATATGGACTTTATGTTGAAAAGTAAATATTTACTCTTCACCATTGACAGATGCTTCAAGCACCATAGATCTAAAAAAGACATTGATTTGCTCTCCTCCAGCCTCTCTTATCTCCTACTTATGAAAATATCTGGTGAATAGTACATCATCTGCTTGCTCCACAGCCTAAGTGCCTCAGAGCAGCCACTCAGGTAATTTATTTGGCACCCAACAGTGCAATAGTTAATTGTAGTGCTTGTGGAATTGCGTGTGGGCTCTGCTGTAGGCTCCTGAAATGCAGTCACCCATTGCTGCTCCTGCTTCCCTGATTCAGAGCTTGGACTCTGGGCCAGCTCCTGCCCTCCTCGGCAGCCACCCAGGCATTAAAAATAAGGACAAAAAAAAAAAAAAAACAGAAAAGAAAAAGGTTTCGTTCTGCAAGAGATTTTATTCCTTGAAGAAGAAGTAGGAAAGAGAATGACCTCAGAAAATGCGGCTGTGCTCTTTAAGAACCGGCTGGCCGTCGGTGGCTCCCTGTGCCGCTCTCCTCTTTGCCCTCCTGGAATTGCCTTGAAATAACTTAAATGAAGTTGAGCCACTTGGAGGCTGTCAGGTTTGTTGGACCTCCTTGGCAATCAATTTAACCTCCTGGAATAACTTTTTTCTGCCGCCTGAAGTTGCTGAGTCAGTGATGGGTGTCTGGGGGCTGCCTGCAAGGCTGCTGCTGGTCCCTCTTCCCTGGGGAGCCACCCAGGAACATGCCTGTGGGCAGATAAGGTGCTGTCCCTCTGATTTGCTATTTTTGTAAGGGACACTTATGGATGGTGTGTTTTACAATGACCTGTGTGTGACTGTGCTTTCACCAGCTGGGGGTGGCACCTTTTTGAGGACAGCTGTGGCTGTGTACACCGACTGTGCCTCAGTCTTCCTGCTCCATCCTTTGGGATGCTTCAGCATCCCTGCCCCCTTGGGTGGAGCAGGCATTTCAGCCTCCCATTGGCTCTAAAGGAGAGAAACACGCTGTGCTCTCTCACTTTTGTCCCGTTTTGGGGCTTGCCTGTCTTTAGAAGAACCCTTGTAGCCGAAGGTGGCCTTGGTTGACATTGGCAGGGCGCGTCCATGAGTGCATCCCTCCCGCCCCTTGGAGCTTCACTGCACTTCACACTGCAGCGGCTTTCTCTTTACAGTTGATAATTACTCACCTCAGAAATAAATAATCTCAAAGTGGAGGGTACAGAGAATTGTTGACAGAAGAGGAGAACTAAAAACTTTGCCTGTTTCTCCTACGGAGCCTCTGCATCGGCCGGAGGGATCTGCCCAAGCTGCTCCCTGAATGTTGTACTCAGTAATTACTGACTGCATAAACATTTCTCTTTTATTTAATTTTGCCTGATGATAATTAGGTGTGAGAGCCTTGTTTAGCAGCCTCTCAGTGCTTCCTGCTCCCAGTTGTTTTCCAGCCTGGAACAGAGGATGGAACCTGCCTCGTAAGGATGTTACCCGGTAAGATGCCATCCAGCACGAGCCCGATACCCTGGGAAAAGCAACCCAGCCTGAAAAATCCTCTAGATGAATCCCAAAAGCCAGCTGCAGTGTAAGGCTGCCTTCCAGGGCTGTCACCAGAAAAGCGTTCAAAAGAAGAGGAATAAGAAACACATTTGCCAAGTTCATAAAACTGTGACCTTGAGACAAAGGTCACCAAAGCATCACTGGCTTTCGGTGGGTCGTGGCACAAGGGGACAACCACAGGACCTGGAAAGGGACCTTTGGTGACATCAGACATCTCAAGGAGAGATTTACTGATAACAGGGAGTTAGAGCACTCAAAGTGTGTTTGCAGTGCTTGGATTCTGCTTTTGCTTTCTTAGAGCCTCTGAAGCCAGTGAAGTAAATGAAGTTAAAGGTGTTCTGCTCCTGTGTGGGTGCCTCAGTGCATCCCTGTCCTGCAGTGGGTTGGGGCTGGCTCTCCACATGTCCTGCACCCACATAATCTGCAGGCTGCCTGTCCCTATTGCTCTCCTCCTCCATCAAGTCCCTCTGCCTGCAAAATAACTCTGGAGACTTTGATTAGATTGTTCCTGTGAAGGAGACAGGTGAGAAGGAAGCCCCCTCTCACAAAGCCAGTCTTTTTTTCCCTCATTTTTGTGCAGGTGCTCTGGTGCCTGCAATCCTGCTGGAAGTCTATGGGCCAGGACCAACACGTGTGTAAAGTTCCATTGCCACCAGAGCAGAGGTGTGTGGATGGAGAATATTTTCTTCACACATTTAACATTCAGGTTTCTTTTATTTCTTTTTTTCCCCCACTCTTTGTGTGCTGCCAGCAGCTCAGAGAGCTGCTGCCTGCAGCCTTAGGTGTGCATTAGCTTCCATTTGATTGCTTTACAGCAACTCTTCTTATCTTTGAAAATTAACCATTTCATAAGCAGAGAGGAGGTGTCTCACAGCATGAGCGTAATGCACCAGGCATTGCACCAAAGACTGCAGAGTGCACCACTCTTTCAGTCAGTGCTGAAGCTTTGACACCTAAGAGAAAAAGTATATTCCAGCCCTGTCAGATGTACAGAGCAATTATGCAAAACTGTCTTTAAGAAGATATCATTCTTAGGATTTATTTTTTTTTGGTAACAAGCAGTATTTCACAAAAAACCTCACCTTTTCTTACTTATAGAATTCAGTGCCACTTACAGTAAATTATATTTGTGAGGTCTCATTATCACATCTATGTAAATTCTACTGATAAAGTATCCTCAGACTTTAAGATGCAAAATGATTTTGTCAAGATAGGGTATAAGATAAAACAAAGGAAAGTAAGCAAGGTGGTTCCTTTTTTCTGCATTGACTGCATGGATGTTAATGAGAGTCATCTCCATGTACAGGTCTAGCATCTGGTTGCTATATTTATTTTAATTGTGTGGTTGCTTTTTTTTTCAGGGAGAAATCCAAATCCCATATGTGCTCTCTTATGACACAAACCCCTGAAAAATCAGAACAAATCTATAGATGTAACATCCATGTGCTTTTTAATTGCTCTCTTCTCACTAACTAAATATTGTGGGATGTTTTAAGGTGAGATGTGAACTTCCCAGCTTCATCTCTTTTCCACTCGTGTGTTGTCCTAGCTGCCTGCTGCTGACTCCTTGTAGGTCATTTCCAGCAACATAAGCAAGACAAGCAAACAGCAAAATTGCAAGATGCAAATGCCCTTCTTTTTTGGCTCTGAGTCAAAAAATAATAAGTTGACAATAACCCTGCCAGAATATGCAGCAAGGGTGACTGCATATTTCTTCCTGTTAGCGTGACAGTACAAGGGAGCTGGTGACCAGGAAGAGACGAGCTTGTGCTGCCCTGGTCGCTGCAGCATGCACCTTGTCTCAGGTTTTAAAGGTTTTTCTGGGGAAAGAATAAAGAATTCCACTCAACCAGCAGCTCATTTCCACTTCAGCAGAAAAAGCATGGGGGGGGAAAAAGAAAGAGGAAGGAAAAAAGCAGGTGACTTAGTTATGTTAAAATAATACTAAATGAAGCACAGCTTGTTTTATAAAAGCTGCTGTGGGTGTAGGGAAGAAATGCTTCTCTGAGTGATGCTCGTGGTGGAGATGGGAGGACAGGTGGGAACCCACAGGGATGGAGCTGAGAGCCTGAACCTGCACTGAGCTCTGAAAGGAGCCTGAACCTGCTCTGCCAATCCCCAGCCCTGCACTGAGCTCTGAAATACCACCCTGTCACCTCATGGGCTCCCAAACAAGTGGAGCCCTCTGTTTTAAAATATTTAAGAATTTGCATCAGCATCTTTGAGGTTAAAGGGTTTGAGGTGGCTCCTCTGGTGTCCTCCCTTCTGTCCAGGGAGCCACAGCCTCCCACCCCTGCCTGTGCCCTGGCACAGGTCACAGAGCCTGTGTGACCCTCAGCAGTGCTGATGGGAAACCCTCATGCTGGGGATAAACTAAACAATTGCAGGAGCTCCTGATCCCTTTGGAGGTCAAGATTTGGAGCTCAGCAACTCTCTCAAGAGCTTGAGTTGAAAGAATCAGGGTGCTGCTGAGATATTGCACGCAAGAGGAAGAAGCAGTGAAGTCTGGCCACGGAGGGATGCTCATCTTTCAGAATTACTTTTTCTCCCAGCTAAGCCTATCTCTGTTTAGCTGAGGTTCAGCTCCAGCACCAGAGGCTCTTCATCTCCAGCCAGGAGAAGACAGTGGAGGAGAATCCTGCAGTGAGCAGCACTTTGGGAGTTTGTGATAGATGCCATCTACCTCATTACTGAGCAATGGAACTTTTTTGTTCCCTCTCTTCTATTGATTTTTATGTCTCCAAAGCATTCTGGCAAACTCTGAAATGAGTATCTGTCAGAGGAGGACTGCTGCTGCTGATCTGCATCTTTGAAGTGAATGTCCATGGATCAAACCCTGGATCAGGTCCTGCTGCAGGAAAGGAGGGCTTCCCCTGGGCTGAGAGCTCCAAAGGTTTGTCCTTCCAGTGCACCTGCCTGAGAGAAGCCTGGATACCGACAGATCCAGTGCACCAGAACCTCTCTGCCGGGAAAAGGCAGCATTTTGGCCAATATCCATGTAACTCAGCACAGAACTTCCCAAATCAGCTTGGCTTGGAGTGTGAGGCTCCATCAGTGGGGGCTTCTCTCTGCCCTCCAGCCTGGAGAAGTGCTGAGCCTGGCAGCTGCTTCCATGGGCTGGGCACTGGAGGGTTCCCCACATCTCCACGACACTCTTTGGTGTGCTGCCACCCTGCCTGCAACACCAGAGTAAATATCTGCATTATTTGTTTCCTGTTTGTATGTAGCCCTCAAGCGAGGAAGCTTTTGCCCTGCAGTCCCTACACATATATCCGTGAACTTCACAAGTAGTTAATATTTTATGCATAATTCATAAAATTATACTACATTTTCTGGGAGTAATTAGCTGACTCTGTACCTCTAATGAACTGCAGGTTCAGCTATGACAAATACGTGGGGCGACTCTGAGGGATAGTAACACGCAGGCGCCTTTAAGCAAAGTTCAAGCAGCTCCTAAATTAACCGGAGCGAATCCCCGAAGATGCAGTATTTATGCACTGAAGCAGGAAGGGAGGGCTCTCATCTCACCACTCTCATCAGCCATCACAGCCCAGGAAGCAAGAGAGAGAAAATAAGAGTTATTTACCTTTTGCTAATTGGGAGCTGGGCAGCTCAGGTGAGACTTTCCTCCTTTTCCTTTATTTGGTTGATTGCGTGGAGTTGTCATGGAAGTGATCCCCAGTGTGGAAATGGATGTAATTGGCACTAAGATTTTCAGGCTTAAATTGCAAATTTTTTCTCAAAATTCTGTTCTCAGTTGGAGGAAAGTGAAATCCATTTGAGCTGTTCTGGTTCTTAAAATAGAAACTGAGCAATTTAATCAAAATTCTTATTTCCAGAGCATCAGCTCTGCCTCTGTGGATGCAGGGCTGCCTTTTCCCAGGGCTCAGCCCCAGCCCATTTAGGGCTGCCCACCGAGGCAAAGACAGCTCTGCTTTTGCCATACACCCACATTTCCCACTTTTTTGTGCTGTGTGAGCAGTGGAATTGGAGACACAGGACACAGCCTTTTCCTCTCAGGTCTGCAGCCTCTCAGTCTGAGTAACTGGAGCAGCTCCAGCACCCAGCCACTCCCTGGGACCCCTGCTCCTCTGGCATCCCCTGATGGCATTAAACACAGCACAGTGACCCCAAAGCAGGAGAGCACCTCCTGCTGCCCTGCCCAGCCTGGCAGCTCCGCCTGACCCAGCAGCAGAGCCACGACTGGGTGGCACCACTTGGGATGCCAGCAGCACCCCCAGGACACACACTTCTCCTCCCAGCTCCCACTGCTCCTGCTCATGGCTGTGGGCAGAAGGAAGCTGCTCACTGATGGTGACCTCAGAAACCTGGACATCTAATACACTGCTACCAGCAGTCTCAAATATTAAATTTTCCCTCCACAGTGTGCTCCCTAAAAGGGAGAGCCCATCCTGCCACAGCCATTCCCACTGCTGGGAGACATGGATCCACTGCCAGGAACTGACTTTAAGTGCAGGGCTGCAAACTGGTAAATGTATTAACTTCAGGTGCCTCTCTGACATTTTTAAAAAAAAATTAAATTTTCAGCTCTGTTGTAGGTACAAAGGGAGGCACAGAGAAGAGCTGCACGTGTCAGGGGGTGAGCACATCAAGGCAGACGATGGTGACACCTGTCTGGTTGAGTTTAGGCTGACAAAATTCAGCAGAGAGACCTCCGTGGAGGGAAGAGGATGCTCGGGAGAAGCAGTGCTGCAGGGCTCTCCTCAGAAGCAGACCTCATTTTTTTTAATTAGGTTATAACTTAATTATGGATGCAAGGCTCTTCATTCCTGACAAGTTTTCCATAATCTTAACTTGATCTCATGTCAGAAGGGTCCCATACTCTGATAACCAAGCCCAGCTAAGAGTTTAACTAGAATAATAGCTGATTAAAAGGGGTTAATAGATACACCTCAAACAGAAGTAAATTAACGGGAGACGCTGTCTCTTGGCTAATGGGATCAGAACAGTATTTGTTTAGTTTATGAATGATTAATCTCCCTCTCTCGGCATTCCTGGGATGCTAATTGCACTTAGGGAGCCCGTGTTTGTTTTTACAGGAGTTGGAGGTGGCAGAAGGAAGGCGATGGTTGGCCCAAAGGGGAGTTCATTCACCCGGGTAATGGGCTCTTGGCACAGCCACGGGCAATACGGGAAAGCCACGCTCTGGGATTGGAGATATTGTTAAAGTCGAATTAAAGATGGTATTGAAGTCACTTTGGTGTGTTTTATGAGAAAACCTGTGGGGTTCACAAAGGCACCGAGTGCCGAGGCTCGTCTCCCCCTCCCGCCCGAGGAATTTCCACCACAGAAATGCTCGGATTTTTCCCTGTGGAAATTCTCCAAAGGGATCACAGCAAAGCTAAAAGAAAAGGCCAAAGGAGGGAAACCACTTCTCGTGGCAACTTTTGCATTTGACAGTTCAAAGCAGGAGAGCAGCAGCATTTGTCAGGAGCGCTGGGAGGGAAGCAGTAATTGCCTGGAAGCAGCCACAGATGCAGGGCTCACTCCAGCTGCTGCTGCATCGCTAAGAGGTAACCAAATCATTTTCCTCTCTACACACTTGTCAGCATTTTAATCCTCCATTATCTTTGTACCTAACAACACAAATGTGCTACCTCAGCCGTACTGTGAATTTACTAGCAAACAAACCATTTCAAACCAAAAAAAAAAGAAAAGAAAAAAAAAAAGAAAAGGGTTTTCATCCCAGGCTCAGCAAGCATGAGGCGTGTGGAAGGTCTCCCTGCTCATTGCAGGGATTGGAAAATGTGACCTTTAAAGGACCTCTTCAACCCAAAATATTCTATGGTTTTATGATTTTCTAAATAAAGCCCTTCCAAATGGGGTTCCTGATTCAGCAAGGTACCAAGACACGTTCCACCAAAGTCAGCTGGCACCACTCATCCCAAACTTCTAGCGTGTTTGCAAAGGACTTAGTGAATTTGGAGGCAGGAGGAGCAGTTTTGAAAGGCAGGTGCCCACCCTGAGCACAGGATGCTTGCAGTGACCAATCAAATTATTTTTGGCGCTCTGGCAGTTGTTTGCAAGACTCAAAATTTGGGCTGACCAAATGACTGATTTGTGATAAAGGTCAGTTCCTAATTCAGTTTACTTTAAAATGTCCCAGATGATGGCAGGGTGTGACTTTATGGATGACTAGGGCTCACTGAGGGGAAAATATGTGTTGAGAAAAGTTCTCAGTCTGTTCCTGGTCTTCCAGTCTCTTCCAAGGGATGGATGTTTGAAAGATGTGAGGAACATTGGGAAGACCAAGAGAACACTTCTGCAATAAACCTCTTTTTGAGTCTGGGATCAATTGAAATTAGGTGAGAGGCTGTTACCAAAACTGCATGCTAAGAAAGGGGATGCTCTTTTACTATTCTCCATAAATAATGTTACTTTGTGCTGTTCCCAGGTATTTCATTCATCACTGGATCGTGTAGAAAGCCTGAGCTGAATAAAACCTTCTGAAAGAAGATGAGGAGACACACTCTGCCTTGTAGATTATTTTACAGCTGCTGAAGCCATTTGTTTCCTCTGCCTGTTTTCCAAAAACTTGGAAAATTAACCATGTACCAGGAGGTGTATCATCTACTTTTTGCCAAATCACATGGAAAGAAATTCCTTATTAAGGGAGCCACCTAAGAATATTTACTTTAAGAATAAATTACTGGATGATTTGCTGGAGGAGCTCCAGCAAGGCAGGTTTGGGCTGGGGTCTGAGGGCTCTCAGGGCAGGTACAAAGCTGTGAGAGCCTTTTCAAAGCTGGGGTGGGGGATCCAGGTTTTGCTTGTTGCTGGAATTTGGGAGCATCAGAGCATTCGTGAAACTCCCCCACGCATCCCCTTCCTGAGTCATTCAATCCCCCAAGCTACAGGTATTTGTTATCCAAACCCTACCCCAGCTGAGGTCTCCTGGGAGCCTCTGGCAAAGCTGCTGCCCAAAACAGTGTTTGTAAACCCAAGGAGATATTTGTGGGCACGGGAAGGCTGCCCAGACACGGCACCCAGCAGGATCCTGCCTTCCACAGGGATCCCTGCCTGCCCCTGCCCTGCCGAGCCAAGGGGGCCTTTGCATGGAGGTACAAGAGGTATAAGCAGATATGGGCACAGGTGTGGATGGAGTAGTTGTGCAAAAGGGACGGAGACTCTGCTAAACTCTTCTCCAAAAGCTATCCAACTCCCCCAAAGGCAATGCTGGAGGAGCGGGTGAGACGTGGTGACAGCTCTGTGTGCAGTGGCCGAGCTCAGGGACCCCGTGGGTGGTGGCCAGGGGGAAGCTTGGGGCGATGGGTGTTCCTTGTAAGGGGCTGGTTGACACGTGGTGCCCTCCAGCCCTTCTCTCCCCTGCTGAAGACCCAGGTCTGCAGCCAAAACAGCTTTTTGTACAGCCCAGGGCAGCCTCCCAGGCAGCAGTTTGAAAACGCTCTGGCTTTTGCAGATGCTTACAGCTGCAGGTAGGTGCCTAGTGGGATTCTCAGAGGTGCCGAGGCATGTAAAGCACCTCATTCCCAGTGCAAATGCCACCAGGTGTCTGCCTGCATCATTAGGCACCTAATGGCCTCTGAAACCTGGCTCCTGGGAGCTGGGATGCTCCTGCCAGCAGCACCCCGGAGCCAGGCGGTGCCGAGCTGGCTGCTCTGCAGCACAGCTCCCATGGGAGACACAGCCCTGGGCCCCATCCCAACACCCTGGCTCCTGGCAGCTTCTCCCTGCCTCAGTTTCCTCATGCAACAGCTGAATTATTCACGTGCATTGTGAAACACTTTGTGATCTCCCGCAGATGAGCCGTGGTGGGAGAGTGAGGTGGTACCAAAGGACTGATTATTGCTAAAATAATTATTAAAAACCCTTTTACCTTCAAACCCAGAACACAGCATGGTACTGACTCCAGAGAAGTGGGAGCAGGATTAAAACACATCCCAGCCTGTCCGTATTTCTACCTTGTCCTTGCACAGAGGGGCTGCAAGGTGGGGAAGTTTTCTCTTCTCGTGCAGTGACGAATGGTCTGACCAGGTAACAAATTCCAGGCTGGAATATGCCTCCTCAGCAGCCCAACGTGTGATTGCAGTGGGCATTGCATTAATTCCTGAAATGTCTTTTTTAAATTGGTTTTACAGTTCACTGGGAGTGTGAGGCTGCAGCCTCTATAGCCAGTGCTGCTCGCACACGACTGGGGGAAATAATCCTAAAAATTGATCCCTGCTGCTGACCCACATGGCTGGGTCTGGCAGCACAGAGCAGGGATCAAGCCAGGTGTGAATTAATAAATACATTTATTTGTCAGCAGAGAGCACACTGTATGCAAACATGAAAAAATACACAAGTGCATTCAGCATGGCTGAAAAGGACCCCTGCTAAATTCTTTGCTCCTGTTTCGTGAATTCCACGAGCGTGCAATGCTGCAAGGTGGGACTTTGTTCCCAAAAGATCCAGGCAGAAACCGTGCCCAGGGCAGAAACAGCAATCAAGGGATGATGAGTGCCCAGCACCGGTGGGGACAGCTCCTGCTCTCAGGCCAGCTCAGGGGGTCAGTGGGATCGGGGAGTTGCAGGGATCGTACAGAGCTCAAGAACCTGAAGCAAAGCCACAGGAAATCCTTCTCTTTTAGATGAGTTGAGCATCACCCCTGAACAGCCTAATCAAAGAATGACCCAAACAGCCCAAACTCTGAGATACACTTAGGAACAAACACTGGAAACTCTTGTTAACTCCTCTCCTGTCTGGAGGAAAAGCTCTTTCCCTGCTGAGCAGCACTTGTTTACTCTGGGAAAGTGTTAATGTAGGCTTGTGCCATCAGCATCTGCTGGAAATACCCACAAAAGAGCTGGTCCCTGCCACGTCCTGCTGTTGAACCCAATCAGGTTAAAGTGTGGTCACACATCAAAAGTTCCCTCAAAACCAACAGCTTCCTACAGATCTGTGTGTTCATCCTCAGATCTGCTGACTTTAGGGATAAAATATATCTCTTACTACCTTTTGCCCCTGTAAGCAGGGCACAGCCACCCAGCAGTGATTTCAGGGCTGGATCTGCCTCCCTTCCCATCACTCTGTCCCACTGATGGGAAGGGTTCTGGTTCCTCCTCACCCCCAGAGCCTTGTGTGACTTTACTGAGCTTGCAGCCAGGAAACAACCAAGCAAAATTAAAAAAAAAAAAAAAAAAATCCCAAACAAAAGAAACAAAACCCCTTCACGTTTTTCATGTGGGTTTTTATTAATGTAGAAAATTAACAAGAGCCTATAAGCCCAGAATCCCACAAGGGCAGTAATGGTAAGTCACTTTTTGGAGTGTAATCACACTGGGAGAGACAAATATCTGCAGCATGTCTGCATGGGCAGGATTCATGCTCAGGAGCCACAAGCCTCCTCCAGCTTCTTCAAACCACCCAAAGGCTTGGAGAGGCCTTGGCACCAGATCCTCCTTGGTTGTGGTTTACTTTATTTTTCTTCTCTCAATCAGACAATGCCTTTGGGGACCGTTTGCTCTCTATTCCAATTCTCTGACCAGGCAGGAGGCTGTGCTGATCTCCATGCGATGTGTCTATCATTTTCGTCCAGGCATTTTAATTTACACTGCAGTAAAAAATTTGGCACCCGACGTTTTCTGCTTCGAGCCACAACGGAGAGGCTGTTCCAAAGGTTTGACTGTGCTGGTTTCCCTCCTCCATTCAGGGGGTGCATGTGTGGAGGAAGGACATGGGAAAGAAAACCCCCTAAACCTGGGATGGCAGGTTTTAATCCCGTCAGCCTGGGATCTCATTGCTGAAGTGATTCTGTCAGATGAGGATCTCTTTGTCTGTCCAGAGGATCTTTGCAGCACACAGAAATACAGATGATCCTAAATAAATATATATCTATATCCTAAAGCATTGACAGAGACTGTCTCACTCCAGGACAGGTAGAAAATAGAGAGTTCTTTACTCGAGGAGGTCATTTTGGTACACAGGGGCTTCCCTACACCCTTGCATAGCCTTCAGAGCTGGCCTGGGGAAACCTCTGCTGGAGACAGGAGGCTCTGGGGGCCTGGGACCTTCCCCTGCCCTTTCCCCCACGGCAGAGCGAGCTGCAGGCTGGTGCAGCCCCCGCTGAGCTCCGGGAGCCGCGCACTGAGGGGACTGCTCTGCTGCTGCAATGCAGGGCTCAGTGCAGGTTGCAGAAAACGAAGGACACACAGACACTGCAGAACCAGGTCCGGAGGCTGGAGGGGAGGATCAGAGCCCAGCCCTGTGCCATGTTCTCCTCCCCATCTGTCTGCCTTTGGCTCTGTCCATTTTAAGCCAACACCATCCATACCCGAGCAGCCAGCAAAGGGCACCTCGGGCAACAGCAAATTTAGGAGGTGAAGGGGCACAAATGCAACCAGGAACAGGCAGGGCTGATTTGTATGGTCCTATGCTGCTTATCTAATGCTCTGGCAAGAAGCTGGAGCCAATTCATCATTGTTTATCCCCAAAACAGCTACTGCCTTTGCCAGATAATGTCTGGGGAGAGACACTTCTCCTCCCTCCTGGGACCATTCCTGCTTTGCTTTTCAGGGAGGTAGCAGTAATTCTGCTGGGCACAGGGAAAATGCACCAAAAGGAACACACTGAGCCAAAATTCTTAAAAAAAACTTCTGAAAAGAGCAAGAAAAAAGAAAAGAGTAAAGCAGTTTTCTTTCTCTTTCTTCTTTATCACCCCCACTGTTTTCAATATAAAACAAGGAGAAGACAAAAAAGAAACACTGTAAATGAGCAAACAGCAGCCTTTCAATTACTTTTGTAGACATGAATTGTTCTCATGAATTAGGATATTTTTGTTCTGGACAAGTTACACAAAATTAGGAGGGGTAAAAGATCAAAAAAAGAACTTCTTGTATCAAATTTCCCAAGCAGGAAGCACTTTTCCTGCTCCTCTTTCCTTAGCTTAGTCTGGATTCTGTTTGTTACCTCGTGGCTTCATTTACTTCTGTACATTTACAGAGCAAACCTCCCTGACATTAACTAACCCCAGCCTTTTTTTTTTTTCTACAGACCACCTTCAAAACCAGTATAAATGGGAATTTAAAAATGAACACACCTTCAGAAGACAGAGTGGAAGATAAAAGACACGGAGCAAAGCCGTGGACAACGTGTGTTTGCTGTTGCACAGAGAGATGGGGAAACAAGCAGCCACGAGGAAGAGAGTGAAGAATTGGAGCCAGCTCGGCAGGTCACACACTGGCAATGCCTCAAGGACAGGAAACAAATGATCGACTGCTGTGTTTGTAATAGGATGGAGGGGAAGGGATGGCAGGCAGGCAACACACTCCCGTGGATGGGAGGAGTAGGAGGGAGATGCTGGTGGAGGCAGGAAAATCCACCTGCTGAGTTACCCTTTGAAGAACGTCATTCCTTCATTTTTCCATGTCTTGTTGCTGTCTTGATGGAGTTGCCAGGGTTCTGGGCATCCACAGAGTGGGATGGAAGGTAACGGAGGAATGGGATAATGGCACTGAAGACCCAGGGGTCAAGGAGAGGAGGCTGCTGAGTTGTGGGACATGAGGTTCCTTCAGAAAACACCTTGGAGTTTCCTGGAAAGAAGAAAGGCTGAGAAGAAAAGGGACAGAAACCATCAGAAGGGGACAAAGTGGGTGATGAGTGTCAGGGAACCTCAGTGTTATGGAGCACAAGGGAAGCAAGAGGGATATGGGCAAAACATAAACAATAATAAATATTTCAGGACTTGCACTACTCCTGACAGCTGTAACGGGCGTATATCAAGAGCTCCCACAAACCCTGGAAATTTCATTAAGAAGCCCACAATGCTTGGACACATATGGAATTATGATACTTCTCATCCTTTCCTGTGTCAAAATCCTCCAAGCCTCAGCTGCCTTAAATAGTTGTTTATAATAAATACATCTTCTTAATGCTACCATATAGGGTATTTTCAGCTGGATAGATTTGACTGATATAGCACATTCTTTATGGAGATCATTCCTTGATTAAAAAAAATATTTTTTCTGTGTCAGGCTCTTTCTGTCACTATCGACCATAAATCAATTTGTCACGTAAATGGTAATAAAACAAGAGGTGTTTGTTCTCTGAAACACCACACAAGTGGGTTTTGCAGCATGGTTATAGCTCTGCTCAGATGTCAGGCTCGGTGGTCCTTGC